GACACCAGGAAGATCGAGCTTGACGGGAATTCCAATCTTCGACAGTACATCATTTCGGCCAATCCCAGACAACTCTAGGATCTGCGGAGACTTGAGCGCTCTGTGGAACGCCGCGCTCATTCAATAAACAGAACGGACATGCATGAGATGTTCCTACCCGGCGCTCAAAATAACCTCTCTGGTGGCTCGCACGCTATGAATATCGCCACCATAGCCAAATTCGACGCCAGTGGCAGTAAGATTGCCAGCAGCGCCAGGCTGGGTGAGGACGCGGCGCACGTGAGCGTCCGTTAGAACGGACAAGTTTGGCCTGTCTTTGTTTGGCAGATAGAATGCGGTCGTCGAATACGATCTCGTGTACGTCTCTGTGTCGCAGGTGCTGGCACACCAGAACCATCCATTTGGCTACATTTTCGGTCATCATTGTGCGGTTTTGGTAGCGCCAGAACGAGACACTCACATCTCCGTTGTACTGACCAATGGCATGGGTTAGTCTGTGTGAATCGGAGTATACACGGTGCATTTGCTCACGGGTTGGGGTGCTGGACGTAGTCCAGCGTTCTCCATAGCCTCTGTCAGCTTGAGCTCACCATCTTGGATTGGTGGGATTCCGACCAAAAGCTGTCCTACACGAAGCCGGTGGGCAAGTTATCCACTGCTCAAGACAATTTACCGCACCATTCCTCCCGAATTTCCAAGCGGCGGGGTCTGTCTTAGATCCCATCTGGACATCTTCAGGTGGAGGCTGAAATCTGGTCGAGGATCATTCAGTCATGTTAACTGTATCGATATAATAGAGCCATGTCCTACCTTTCTACCCTCTCGAGAATCTCCTGGTGAGCCTCCCAGTTCCACCCAGGGTTGCCGAGCATTTCCCAATCTGTACCGAGGAATAGTCAATCTCCTACTACAAATTCCGATACGAAGGGAAGTACACACCATCTATGTGACGTGCCGGCGGCTTACAATACCCCAAGAAGTTTATAGCAGTCGAACCACCAAGGCCTTTTCCTCGTGAAAAATACACGGACCGATTGTTAAGGTGTTTCTGTTTGACCTGTGTAGGCGATATGTTTACTTGAATCTCACGGAAACCATATAGTATGGTATACCAACCGAGTTATAGGCCCAATCGTACTGAGGTTTGCCGAAATGTGAGCCGAACAAGGCGGCATGCACTGTGAAAGCCATCAATATGGTGGATAAGATTAGACATGAATTACCACGTACATAGTTCCGGATCATTGAGGTTTGCCCCTCCGGATTCCAGCACAAGGACAGTCATGAAAGGATCTTCGCTCAATCGTGCTGCCAAAGTTAGTCCGCATCCCTGGTAGTCCCCCGCGTGTAAGCTATGTGTTGGGAATTGTATGCAGGTGGACCGTGACCCACCCCGCCGCCTATGAGGCATATGAGGTCCAATCGACAATCACCAAACCGCCTTGGGTGAGTTTGCGATAATTGACGCACCAGCTATGATATAGTCGAAGCTCTGGCCGGAGACCTTGTCGATCCCGGAGACGTTAGACATGTCGAGTTGAGAGTGGATGAGCGGGAATGACTGTGTAGCAACGCAACAATGATGGGTGTCCTTCGAAGAGACGGGATGAGCCGCCTCATGGCCGCAGGATGGACGGTTTGTTCGTCTATGTCTCGGATTAGCCGCGAGATGAAACGTGAATAGATCTGCTCGCTGGCAGTAGCCTCGCCCTGGCCCCTCGCTTCTAAAACAGGAAGGTTTATTTGTACAAGACAAATAAAGACCGTTAACGACTCGGCTTAGAGGGGACAAGTTGTCCAGCGTACTGTACAATCCAGAATGGGGAGAGAGAAGAAAGCAAATATATTGCGGTAGGTATAGATCACACCCTCCTCTTTCGGCTGTGCCCGACGCAGTCGTCAAGTCTAGCATACTCGTCAGTTACTACTACAGCCTCCAAGTGAGCGTGCCTCTCATCAACCCTGTGAGCAAATAAAAGGCCATCGTGATGTGCCAAACTAACAGACTGTGCATAGCGCTAATTAATTGCGAGGCTGAATTAAGATCCTGACATGTAGTGCATTGCGCTGTAGAAGGGTTTTCAGCGCCAACACCAAGAACTTACATTTACCTTCTTTCCGCATGTACACAGATGGTGGACGGTGGCTTGACCGGGAAGACAGGACGTAGGTGACGCCGCAAGTGACGGAGTACCCCGCGACCTGAGGGCGGCAGGAACGCGCATGTAAATAGGGGGCCCGCTGTGCGCGAGCGTGCCGAGTCATCGCCTGTCGGAACGGCGCGCCTTTCCCGAAGCCTGACGCCACTACTTTGTTTTCCATCGCATTCACAGGTTTTTCCCCAATAGAGACTCTTTCGTTGACGTTTACCTTCACTTTCCGTACACATAGACCTCCGGCCGAGAGCACGGCAGCGGAGCAGCGCTCGCATGTATATTAAAGGCGACCTCCCGCCGTCGAATGGAGCAAGCTCCCCTTTCCCTCACCTTCGCCTCTAAAGTCTGCCCCTCCGAGCTTCGGGCACATCCTAAGAGTCATCGAGAATACACTCGCGAGAGCGCGAGACGAGTTTCGCCTGCGACGAGCGCGGGCACGAGCATTTAAGTAAGTTTTATTAGATCGTTCATCGAGCTTAGTTACGCGTTTAGACATCGAGTTTGTCATCGGCCATTCCCTCCCCACACGTAAAGCCCCGCATATATCGAGCGCCGACCCGTACGTCGAATCCTCCTCCACAGCGCTGAACTTTGAAGCCTCTGAGGCGGCCGTAGTACTAAGCCAGGCGAAAGAGGCTACACGTGCCACGACGGTTTAGGCACGGGCTGCGACTTTTGCCGCTGGAGAGCGTATTGATGGAGAAACGACAGGAAAACGCGTCTTCCTTTCATTCTGCACGTACGCTTATTTCGAACCGTTTTGGCCAAATGGCAGCGCCCATCCGCCATCTGATACGTGCGCCACCTGATGTCTGGCGTGCCGCGAAATACTTAGGAGGGTAGAGAAGTGTTTTTCAGCGTGGCTAGTATGAGTTAAGCGAAGTCTAGGCTGAGAAACAGTGGTGTATTCTCCATTGAGGGAACTCAACTACCTTTTGCATAACTCAGTAATCATCGTGCGCCCAGGGTTCCTGCCAGGGCCGTCCACTACTTGGCGCACCGCAAGCGCATGTGTGCTAAGTAACCTAATAACCCGAGAGAACTGTGACAACTGGGCGATCGCCGAGGTAGCATACTGCAGCGCACTCCGCGCGCCTATAGCTTGGAGCGTTCCCCCTTCTCATTACAATCTGTCACCCGACATAACGCATCAATCACGTCGCAGGCGGCGATAGCACCATCACTACCAAAGATCTTTGGACCTTCATGCACCCGCTAGGCCAAAACCCAATCGAAGCTAAGCTGCAGGACATGCTCAACGAGGCCGACGAGAACGGCAACGGCACAATTGATTCCAACGAGCTCCTATCGATAACACAGCGCAATATGTGCGACATGGACTCGGAAGAGGCGACCAGAAACATTTTCAAAGGTTTTGATAGTGACGGTGCGCGTGTAACAATTCCAATTTGACTGCTCGGTATCACACAAAGCCTCCGAGACGTAATTTCTTCATGTTTACGGGCGTGATACTGTACATTGTGTATTGTATGGACCAACTCTTCGCATTTGTAGTAGTACAAAGCATGTGCTACATGGGGGCTTTGCGATGTCTGAATACATGTGAATCAGGCTTCAAGAGTTCCTGATGATGTCGGCGGCTAGAGCAAACAGTCAGCGACAATCAAGGACCCGATTCGTTAGGGACACTGACCTTTCTCCGCGATGAAGTATGCCGTGGCTAGGCAGATGAGCACTCCTCAGCAACAGTAGCAGCATAGGGTATTTTCACGGACACTCACACTGAGTGTGGCAGCAGATGTGCAGCGGAACAATCGAGAGATCGACGACACGCAGGTTATCTGTCCCGCAGACCTTCAGTTTGGGGTCGACGACGCCACCCTTCTCTCTTGGCAACATCGAGAGTGAGGACGCGGTATCTGTGCGGGTGTGGAGGTTGCTATCAGTCGATCTGCTGAGAGTTGAGTCTGAGATGACTCACGGAAACCAGAGGCGAGGATTGACTTAGCCCATTCTAGCACAAAATCAGCAGGCTACTTGGTCCAGTCATAGACGCACTCACTGAGGAGCTGCTCATCCGTCTGCACAGAGGGGCCCGGATTGACCTCCTTAACTACTTCATCATTAATCCTGAGTCAAAGTGGAATTGACGGGTGATATACCAATCATGTCTTTAATGGGACTGGTGTTTGCCAGACTGCGCGCAAACTTGGTCGCCTCAAGCAACATGTCCGCATCTGTTTGCTGCGCTCAGCTGCGGCGAGAAGGTCCTACTGGTTAGACTAACCGACGTTGCGTTCGAGGTAGCGCGGGTCGAGGTCGGGATCCTCGTTTGGGTCACTCGATTTGATGTGCTGCATCAGATTTATCAGCGACGTGCGAGTTGGCGGGGACGGCTAATGCTTACGATGGTTCCACGAGAGAACACAGTGTGTACCAGTACTATGAACGTGATATAACGCTTCCCGGGGGTAGGTGGGTCTGTCCAAGGTCAAACTTGCATCATGAGAACTCACTGGTCTGCGGACTCACTGGGACCTGATATAAACGTAGGGGCCGTGGTTATCTCGCAAGTGGGACTGCTTGTCTTCGGGTCAAGACGCGCCAACATTAGTCGCGTCTGGTCGATGTAGCCGGCAGGAACCGTGTCACCGTCCAGCTTGCCGATCTCCTCCTTAGCCCGTTCATAGATCTCTCCTGCTCTGTCTGAAATTTGGTCCAGAGGGAAGAACGCCATGGGCATCGTAGAAACAGCAAGTTCTTGGGCTTGTTTGCTAACAAGATCTGTCAGCAACACTACGCATGTCAGGATCAAAATACTACTTACGGGAACTCATTTTTCAGCTCTAGACGGCAACTTTCAGTATAAGTCTGCAATCAGACTGAGATACACACCCCACGACATCGCAAGTGCCATGTGTTCTTGCATGTTTTCGCCGACACCAGGAAGATCGAGCTTGACGGGAACTCCAATCTTCGACAGTACATCATTTCGGCCAATCCCAGACAACTCTAGGATCTGCGGAGACTTGAGCGCTCTGTGGAACGCCGCGCTCATTCAATAAACAGAACGGACATGCATGAGATGTTCCTACCCGGCGCTCAAAATAACCTCTCTGGTGGCTCGCACGCTATGAATATCGCCACCATAGCCAAATTCGACGCCAGTGGCAGTAAGATTGCCAGCAGCGCCAGGCTGGGTGAGGACGCGGCGCACGTGAGCGTCCGTTAGAACGGACAAGTTTGGCCTGTCTTTGTTTGGCAGATAGAATGCGGTCGTCGAATACGATCTCGTGTACGTCTCTGTGTCGCAGGTGCTGGCACACCAGAACCAT